GACACCATATCACCATTCCCCACTTTATGAAGGCAAAAACATTGTTAATGTCTTTTTCTAATTTTGCGGTAGTTGAGGGTATTATTCATGGTTGTCCTTTAACCTGCCAAGGAGTCTTCTAGATTTTAGTGGGATCCAATTGGAGATAACTTTGTCTTCCTGACAGTGTTGATCTTTAACATTTGAAAATATATAGCTCTGGTCAGAAAAGGACTTGTGACCAGCTTGCTGCTGTGAAATGAAAATCCTTTGGGACTGGTAAATTAGGTCTCTGCTTTTATTCTGAGACTACTAGCAAATCCAGGGGATTGATGATTGTGGTAATCATTATACTTTATATTTGTATTTAGTACTTTACAGATAATACAACACTTCCTCATAATTTGTGTGTCTGATCCTTGTAACAAACACTTCTGGGAGTAGTCTTAGCAGGAATTGCTGTCTGCATTTTACAGAGGAGGAAACTGAGGCTCATTAGAAATCACATGTTGGTAAGTTCGTACAGCTGAATCAGGAGAAAATCAAGTCAGCAGATTTTAGTGCTGCGTGGTGGGCCAGATCTTCTGAAATGGGAAACTTCTTTTATAGGGGAATTTATGTTGTTCTGAGGTTGTCATATGGTCTTTGTTTTGAAGATGACCAGTGACATCATGGGCTGATGTCTTGACTTGCACATGAATTGAATTGAAGTGAGGCAGAGTTGCACAGAGTCTTCAGCCTCACCCTCTCATCTGGAGTCATCAAAGGTCAGTGGCAGGACAAGAGTTAAGAGGACTGGCAGTGGCTCAGGATACAGTGGATGACTTTGGCATCTTTGATGTCTGACCAAGCTCTGAGCTCTCCACAGCACCTGCTTCAGCCATCTTCATGACCATGGGAACAGATTGTTCTTGTCTGCCCACTGTGCTGGGGGAAGTCTTCTTCTGCTTTGCGTAGACCTCCCCCTAACTCGTTAATGGGTTTGAGGCCTGGTAGTTACCATCACCCTGGTTTAGCCCGTGGGCTGAAATGGTTTTGCCAGGGTGTGGCTGCTGTGCATGCTACAGCTTCAGTAGAGAAAGTCTGGAGAGTCAGGAGCAGAGGTGGAAGAGCAATGAGGGAGAGAATATGGCTGGCTTGAACACTTTTGTTAAAATGGGAGTTCCAATAGATCTTATGGGGAACAAAGCAAAAGATCAGTTGAAGGGACTTCTGGGGAGAAGTGATCTTTCAGGGTAAGAGAACTGGTGTGGGTTGGTAGCTTGGAGAGTCAGGAGCAGAGCCCAGAGAGGAATGAAATGAAGAGTAAAATCTAAGAAATTAAGAATGAAATCTAAGGAAAACCCAAGGGATGAATTCTGGCAGAGCAGTGTTAAATATTGTAAAATGGCATAGTAGAAGGAAGACCAAATTTAGCAGTAAGAAGATCTGGATCCAGGGCCCACTTCTGCCACTAATTTGGTGACTTTGGGCAAATCACTTCACATCTTGAGCAGTCAGTTTCTTTTAAAAAAGTGAAAGTGTTACTTTAGATGATCTTTGTGATACCTTCCAGCTTTAATTCCATGAAGTTATGAATCCTTTTTTGTTTAGAATGGTAGATAGTTAATTAAAATAAATGGTAGTTAATTAAAATAAAAAAATAATAATAGTTGATATTTATGTAGGACTTTTATGGGTTACAAAGTACTTTCCATACATTATTTCTTTAGTGTAGGTATTGTTATCTCTATTTTATAGATGAGGAATCTGAGGCTCAGATAAGTTAAGTAATTCCACCAGATATTAAGTGTCAGGACCGAAATTTTGAATTGAAATATTCTGACTTAAGATTGAGAGCTTAATGGGGGCAGCTAGGTGGTGCGGTAGATAGAGCACCGGCCCTGAAGTCAGGAGGACCTGAGTTCAAATTCGGTCTCAGACCAAACACTTGACACTTAACTAGCTGTGTGACCCTGGGCAAGTCATTTAACCCCAATTGCCTAAAAAAAAGAAAATAAAAAAAGATTGAGAGCTTTAACATTTTTCTGATCATACCAGAGCTGCTGATTATCACCTAAGATTCCAATTGTAGATTAATTAACTAATTAATTTATTCTTCATGCATTTTATATCACTGACATTTCAAAAGAGACATCTTAGTACTCATTCTGGACATTAATCATTGTACAGGACTTTAGAGCCCTAAAAAAAAAACTTTGGCCAAAGAGAATATTTATTTTGTTGGGTATGACAGCAGTGTTCAGGATGACAACTTTTTTTTTTTTTTTGGCTAGGCAATGGGGTTAAGTGACTTGCCCAGGGTCACACAGCTAGTAAGTGTTATGTGTCTGACGCCAGATTTGAACTCAGTTCCTTCTGAATCCAGGGCCGGTGCTACAACTTCTTAATAAAAAAACAAAAGATGCACATTTTCAAATACTATGTAACAGTCCTGATTAAATTCAAGTTCATCTGGCTACTTCTTCCTGGTTATGCATCTTAATAAGTAATAGTTAACAGCTGAGACCATATTCTTTTGCATCTGTTTCTCTTCTGAATCTCTTAGGTCTTTGCTTTTAGAATTGGTATAAACAGTTTAAAATCCTATTATTGAACTACTAGAAGGTAAAGAGATTGGGCAAAATTGTTGTTGATGTTTTACTATGCTAAGAATGTTTGTTGTTTTTAACTAAATTGCCAACATTATCTTGTTTCCTTATCCCTTTGTCATAAAAGTAAAGTTCAGATTATGAAATTGGTAATAATGCATAATGGTTTATGAACCATTTCTCCTATAATAACCCAATGGGGAAGGTATTCAAAGTATATTATTCCCATGTTTCAGATGAAGAAACCTAGATTCACTGAGTTAAAATGACTTTCTGTCAATCATACAATTAGTAAATGGCAGATGCCAAGACTTGAATCAGATCTGAGGACTCCTAGCTTAATGCTTTTTCTACGAGAGCATTTAGCTTCTTCCAGTTATGCTTTATGTATGCACATATCTCTTTCTTTGTATTGCATAACAGAGACATGTTTTTTTGGGGAGTTTTAGCTTTCTGGTTATTCGGATTCTGGATAAGTGAGATTTAGGAAGCTCCACTGGTTCAATTATACTTGTTTTCTTCAGGAGCTACGTCCTAATGGTAATTTTATTTTTCCTAATTTTAAAATTTGGACCTCATAAAAGAAAAAAAATTGTTTTGTGTTGTTTTTCTCCAGAAGCAACATACCGCATTCTTTTCTTTTCTCTTTTTTGCTTTTGTTTTAGTGTGGTGTTTAGCTACTGCTTCAGTCATCGTCTTTGGCATTTTTATTTCTGTGAGATATAGGTCTCTCCACCCTGTTTTCAGTTGAAGATGCCTTGGGGGCAGGGATGCTTCTTTCGGGTCTGTTTGTGTAGTCCAGACTGGTCCCTGGTTGCTAAGACTGACTTAGATGGGGGCATGCAGAGATATCTGGTAATGGATCTTCATGTAGACATATTAGCCTACTTTTCTTAGAAGTTGTTTATCTCTGTTCATCTTGGGTTTTAGTTTACCTGGATAATTTTGCTTCGTGAACAAATAGGTACCACAGTGTAGGTAAAAGAGCTCTGAGGTTAGAGTCAAGAAATCTAGGTAGTATTCTTGGTCCTGCTGGGTTTGAGACATCTGTCCTTGGGTCCTAGGACCTAGGTGACAATACAGTGGTCACTTAATGTTGGTTGAAGTGCAGTGAATTCACATTAAACCAGCTGTGTGGCTTTGGGTAAGTCACCTTGCCTTTCTGGGTGTTTATGTCCTTTGAGGCCATCAAAGGGAATTATATGTACACATATAAATGTACTTATACACATGTATGCACACAAACACACACAGAGGTACTGGAGACAGTGTCCACTGGCAGAAAAAGGCCTAAAGGATCCTCCCGTTTGAGCTCTTGGGATACGTGTGACTGCAAGAGACTACTGGTGGTGCAGGAGATCTAGAGCACCAGGCCTTGAGTCAGGAAGACTTGAGTTCATATCCCTACCTGATGACCCTGGGCAAGTCATTTCGCCTCTGTCTGCTTCAATTTCCTCACCTGTAGAATGGTGATAGCCTGTGGTAAAAAGGAGAACTGAGATCTTTCCAGAGCCAAGGAGTGTTCCTGTTCTCTCAGAGGAGAGACGAGCCTGTGCTCCCTCTATTCCTCATCCTCTTAAGAGACTTTTCATTTTTTGTATTTGGTATGTATTTTCAAAATAAACCAGTTTTTGTAAGATACTGTTCAGGCAAATTGACTGAACATCTCAGTAGAGTTGCAGGGCAGAATGCTGATTTAAACCTTTGAAGATTGTTCTTTTACAAATAAGATTGAATGGTAGCCTCAGTAGGAACCTATACTCAGTTAATTTATATAGATTATATATTAATTAATATTTGTTTATATTTTTTATGGATGTATATGAATGTTGTTTTCTCTGAATATATTGTAAGGTCCTTGAGTGTAGGGATTGATTCACTTTTGCTTTTATAGCTCCAGCATCTAACATAGTACATAGGGAAAGCTTAATAAATGCTTAGTGATTGATTGATTAATTGAAGATTTGGGGGTGCTAAGTTGTCCTTTTGCTAGTAATTCTTTTGAGTTGCATATCATATATCTGAAATATTTCTGGATTTATTTAGAAAATACTTTTTAAGCCTTTAGAGTCATGGACATTTCTATTTTACTTGAGAGATTGAAGCTGAATGTTCATTTTTCCACACTGTTATTTTCTTATTCTTATGTCTGAATGATATCATCATGAATGAACAGATTCATACAGTTATCAACCTGTGCCTTGAAGGCAGTTAATTCACCAAACTTCATGGAAGTGTCAGTATTTTAAGATACTCTTTCTCCATTAAGCTTGTGGGGCTTATTTTTCCTTTTTTTTTTTTTCCTGTGTTTCTATCCTTCAGGAAAGGTGGGAGCCTCAGTCAGAGAACTCTTCCTCTGACTGTTCACAAGACAGAGGATCCTGTTACAGACACCATCTTAACCCAATTTTGTGACTTTCTTCATTTCAGGTCTTTGTTTAGAGAAGTTGCCAATTTCCTCTTCTGCTAGTAATCTTCATGTAGACCGGGAGCAAGATATCATTACCTGCTATGAGAAGGCAGGGGACATTGCCCTCCTTTACCTCCAGGAGATAGAAAGGGTGAGTGAGAATGATTTGTACATTCGACATGAACTTTCTGTTCAGGTTAAAGAGGTGGAGAATCTGAGCAAAGCTTTGTTACTGTGTGTTGTATGTCTGACCGAAGTATTTTATGTCTCTGTCCTTTATTCCTCCATCTCTAAGGTGGTGACAGGGGTAATTGTTGGTTGCAGGTGAAGTGGAGAAAATGCTGGACATGGAATCAGAAGAAGGCCTTGGTTTTAGTTGTGGCTCAGCCCTTTTAGAAGCTGCTGACCTTTTGGAAATCACTTAAGTTCTTGGATCTTCATTTTTCTCCTGTGCAAAATTAAGATGTCATATAAGTGCAGGGGTCCTTAATGGGATCTGTGAACTTGTCTTTTAAGAAAACATTTTGATAATTGTATTTAAGTATAATTGGTTTTCTTTAAAAACGTGATTCTGAGAAGGGGCAAGTCCATGATACATGAGAAGGGAAGAACCTGTGGGTTAGTGGGTCTTTGACAGCCTTCTGTTCTTCATGAGGTTATGCTTGGACTAGCCCAGAAATAGAGTGGGAAACTTAGTTTGCACCATTCCTTGTCTTTTTTTTTTTTTTTATTAAAGGCATTTGGGGTTAAGTGACTTGCCCAGGGTCACACAGCTAGTAAGTGTCAAGTGTTTGGTCTGAGACTGGATTTGAACTCAGGTCCTCCTGACTTCAGGGCCGCTGCTCTATCCACGGTGCCACCTAGCTGCCCCCTTTCCTTGTCTTTCTGAGCAGCTCAGTGACAACAGTCAGTAGAATCCTGGACTTGGAGCCACGAAAACCTGAATTCAAATCCTGCCTCAGATACTACCTTTGACCCTGGGCAAGTCCCTTACCCTCTCAGCTTCAGTGTAAAATAGGGATCATGTTCTAGCACCTGTGTCCCAAGGGGCTTGTGAGGATTAAATGAGATAACGCATGCAAAGTGTTTTGGAAATCTTTTCAGTGCTACATATGTGCTAGTTATTATTATTCCTGTCATTAATGGAGTAGTGAGGGAAGGACCAGAATCTTGTATGCCTTATTGTTTTATCAACGTTAGTTTCCTAGTTCATACCTACAATGTGTGGTCCTCAGATTTGGAACATGTGCATAAAATTCCTTTTTGAGGGCTGGAACAGGATGGTTGGGAGATCTAGGAAAGTGACCATGTGTAGGATTGAGGACTAAATCATACCTTATAAATATCAGTGTGGTGATTTTTGACCTAGCCATGCTGGGAAAGGCTGTGTTCTATCTCATAATTTGTCTAAAATGTCACCACAAATGTATTTGTCTTTCTTACCAAAGTGTTATCTTATTGGAAGACTGTTATGAGAAGGGGAAAACCATAGTGTTTGAAATTGTATTATCTTTGAGAAATTGCCAAGACATCTAACACATTTATTTATTCACATTTATTTTTAACTTGTCCATTTCTTCTATTAATTAATGTCTGTTGCTTAGGCCTTAGTAATGGATACTACCTCTTCCTATTCCCACAGCTCACCTCCATCCTAGTGATTTTGAATGTTTTTGCCTTCTAAATGTATTGGTATTTGGGGACCCTTACTTCCCAGCTTTTCTCTCCAGGCTTTCTCCTTATGAATTGCATAATTGCATAGCTGCCTTCTCCTAATCTGAGTGGATAGTTTCATCAGTTGTATACCTTTTGAATGACTTGGGAATTGGCATTTCACAGTGTCATTCATGTGGGCCTTGTAGCGGAACTATCTTTAAGAATGTATGAAACTGAGACTTTTTTCATGGGAAATGAGTTTCAAGTTGCCAATTCCTTATTATTTCAGTATCTTAACAATACTATTGGTATAAGACAAGGAAAGTGAGAGAAACAGAATCTGAAAAAGATGAAAAAAAAATAAGCATGTTAAGTTAAATGCTGCTTAAGAATATTCACCAATCAGATACATTATTTAAGCAAAATGTAAAAACTTTCTGTTTTTATATTTGCAATGCTAGGCATGTTCAGTAGTAGTTTATGCATTTTTACTTACTCGTTGAGGTGAATTCAGATATCCTTTCCTGCCTGTTCTGTGTCTATGGAACATCTGTCTCCAGGAAGATTAAGCATATTACAGGTTGGTGTTGGCTTCTAACTACATTTACCAGGAAGAAAAAGATGTGGATTTGGGGAAAATATTAAAGACAGTTTACAGTGTCAAAGATGGTGGATGAATATTCTATAACCAGTGTTCTGTACCCTTCTATTGGATGTCTTCAGATAAACCACAAGACTTAGTTTTACAAAGGGCAGACGTTTCCCAGGAAGAATAGATGAGAAAAGGATTGTCCTTGATTTACAGTTTTTAAAGTGTAATTTTTATTGTGTCATTCTGTGTGCTTCAGGGTCTCCATTTGTGTAGGAGGAATAAAAATGCTTGACCCTGATTATTTCAGTTTAATACAGCAAACATTTATCCAGTACCTCCTATGGATTAGACATCTCTGGGTAGGCACCAGGGATAGAAAGGCAAAAATAAAACATGACTTCATTGGATTGTGTTGAGAGTAAATGAGTTGTTTTTGAGAGTCCTGATGTGAAAGTTTATATTATCAAGGTTGTTTAGATATCTGTAAATTTTTTTCTGGAGGAGGGAAAGGAGTTGCTGTCTTAAAGGGAAGAAAAGATTTCTGTGTGAATGCTGCATTTTTCTCTATAATTGAATATAATAAATCAGGTAGTACAGAATTTGTTATGACATATTTATAACCTTGATTAATTTATACTCAGAAGTGACATTATGCCAAAAGTAAATAAAGTTGTCATCCTGAAAGAAATTTCTACTGGTGTATTTCTATTAATAAAGATGATTTCATACTTATATATCTACTTATGTATCTTGCTTTTAGCAAATGAAATCATCTTGTCTTTGTCTTCTGTGAACATCAGTTAATAAGTCAGTTATGACTTCCTTCAGCATGATTTGTACCAGAGATAGAAACTTTAATTTCTGCTAACAATTTATTTCTTTATTCTCTATTTTAGAGGGAAAAGGTTAATATTCAATTGTAGGACTTTTGTACCCTTTGTCTTTACTGTTTTTGGTATCTGGTGTCTGGAGATGAAACATCAGGTACAAATTATTGCAGTAGTAAGCCTGAAAACCATTCCCAGTTATCCAAGAAAGCTCCCAGTAGCTACCTGATCTGCAGATTTCTTCCCTCCATTTGGCGCTTACTATGTGTCCACTTGACATTTATCTTAGAGCAGACATTCTTAACCTTTTTTTGTCTAATGGTCCCCTTTGGCAGTGTTGTGACAGCCTGCCCCTTCTCAGAATTATGTTTTTAATTGCATAAAATAAAATACATAGGATTATAAAGGAAACCAATTATATTTAAATGCAATTATGAAAACATTAGAGCAAACAAGTTCAATTACCCCTCCTTCTCCTCCTCCTCCCCCCCCTCCCCATTACAAACCTATCTTCCTTTTAGTCCAACAACCTGGTTCCTTAGATGAGAAAAATAAAACCCTGAGAGATTGTGACTTGAAAAAGGTCACCCAGAGCTGCTGAGGGTCAGGGTATGACTAAAAGCACAGAAGACAGAGGATTACAGAGTAAACCAACTATATATTAAAATACAATTATCAAAATGCTAAAGGACAAACAGAGTTCACAGGCTCCAGGTAAAGAACTTCTGTCTTGGCAGTGAAATATGTTGGAGGATTTGGAAGTTGGTTTAGATGTAAGGTCACCTTGTAATCTGAATTCAGAACCAAGAGAATATATAGAAAGGTCTCAGGAAAGGGCTCAGTAACCATTGAAGGCCTATTTATCATCTTAATGTTCTAAAATACTGGAGCATGAAAAAAAGGCTTCTCATACTTTTACCTAGAGTGCTCCCTCTCTTTTATTTTAGCCAAAGTAGTATGTAAAAAAAAAGCTCTCAGTTTCATGGAGAAACTCTTTTGAATCAATGCTTCTTTTTTTTTTAAAGTTTTTTTTTAAATTCTGAATTTAACAAACCAAATAAAATGAGTATTTTCTTTTTAAAAAAATTTTTAATTAATTTATTTTGAATTATCAACAATCACTTCCATATACTTTTGAGTTTTAAATTTTTCTCCACCTCCCTCCATATCTCCTTCCCCAAGACAGTGCACAATCTGATATAGGCTATACATATATATTCCTATTAAACATATTTTCACATTAGTGATGTTGTAGGTAAGAATTAGAACCAATAGGAGGAACCACCAGAAAGAGGAAACAAAAGACAACAGAAGAAAATAAAATAGGAAATAGTATGCTTCGATCTTCATTCAAACTCCATAGTTCTTTCTTTGGATATGGATAGCATTTTCCATCATGAGGCCTTTGGAGATGTCTTAGATCCTTGTATTGCTGACAAGGGTCAAGTCTATCAATATTAGTCATTGAACAACATGACTGTTACTATGTACAACGTTCTCCTGGTTCTGCTCACTTCACTCAGCATCAGACCGTACAAGTCTTTCCAGGTTTTTCTGAAGTCAGCCTGTTCATCATTTCTTATAGCACAATAGTATTCCATTACATTCCTATACCACAACTTGTTCAGCCATTCCCCAATTGATGGGCATCCTCTCAATTTCCAATTCTTTGCTACCACAAAAAGAGCTGCTGTAAATATTTTTGTACATGTAGATCCTTTTCCCATTTGTATGATCTCTCTGGGATATAGCCCTAGCAGTGCTATTGCTGGGTCAAAGGGTATGCACATTTTTATAGCCCTTTGGGCATAGTTCCAGATTGTTCTCCAAAATGGTTAGATCATTTCGCAACTCCACCAACAATGCACTAGTGTTCCAATTTTCCCACATCTTCTTCAACATTTATCATAAAATGAGTATTTTCATGTACAAAGTACCTTAAGAAGAGGGTTGAATGTGAAACTGCAAGTCTCTATTACATACAGCTTACTTTTCATTTTCCTTTTTCCTGTAATAAATTCAACGTGTAACTTTCAGAGCTGTCTGGTTTATCCGTATTTCCTTTTAACCTTCAGT